TCTGTGGAAAGAGTGCTTATGTACTGATGTAGGAAATGCAGCAGCTGCTTGTGAGCTCTCTTTGACCAGGCTTCTTCGGTAGGATGTATTTCACTCTTCTGCTCCGAGCTGTAATACTTTCCTCTATTTTCTGCCTTGCTTGTTTGGGTAGAATTGCTGCCCAGGACAGGAGCAAAGTGGCATTCTGGAGATGTCATGCAGCACCGGATTAACTGCAGAGGTTGCCTGAGTCAGAGGGTAAGTACTCAGGTCAGCAACAATCTGGCAGTGCTTTACAAGGGAGGAGGAGAAAAGGAGAGTTCTTGTTCTTCCCTGCATCAGCTGCTTGCTTTATCCGGGGTTGCTGTGGCTGTCCTTTCCACCCTTCATTTTCATTGTAGAGAAGGGAACATGAGAAATTGAGTAGATGATAAGGAAGGAGCAGGCTGGAGTGGGACAGTTCCCCTTCCTCTTCATCTTCTTGAAAGTTGGAATAAATCTTGTAGTTGTGTATCCTCCATGAAGGTGAGAAGTGGTTTGCATTGGCCAGTAAGTACCAGTCCTTCTAAGCAAGCTGTTGGGCCATACCTGTTGATTTTGGGAAGACTGTCCCTTTCCCAGCAGGAGAAAGGGTGTACAGAATTAGCACCCAGATGCTGTTAGCAACACAGAGTGCTTGTGGTCCCAAGGATGGAAGATGAAGTTCGTGTGTGTGTCAGTGAGTGTGTATTTTGTTGATTTTTTTTTCTAAAGTTTGCCATTTGGGGAAATTAAGCTGAATTGAGCTTTGCTGTTCCCCTCTCCAGGCTGTATAAAGTGATGCTTAGTGTTTGCTTTAAGCTTTGGGCATAGCCAGGGACAAAAGAGAAGGTGGTGACTCTCACTGCCTCTGCAGTTGGGATGAACCCTCCTGCTCTGCAGTTTGTTCGAGTGGCTGGAATGGGTACAGGAATTGCTCTGTCTGGGAGAGCAACCTGCTGTCCCCTTGACTCTGAGGAGAAGTTCCCAAAAGTGTGAGTCCCTGCTGGAATTTGGATGCTTTCCCTGGGTTCCAGGGCCTCTTGGCAGGGTGACTGCCTTCCAGCGGTTGGTGTGCTGGCTTCCCTCCTTCTGGAGACTCTGAAACAAGTTATGGCATAGGAGTGAGCGCTGGCTTGCTGGAGGCAGCCTCACTGTCAGCCTGCCGAGGGAGAGGCACTGCTGATACAGTTCGTTTGGGCACCCATCCTAAATACTTACGTTATTAAGCCCTCTGGCTTGGGAAGGTACAGCAGAGCGCTTTGTGCTCAAGCTGGTATGTTTTTCCCAGATTATGTTGTGTACCTGTGACTCTGTTAAAACTTACAGAAGTCATGATCCTCGTGGCAGGGCTCAAGTTGGATGCTCTGGTCTTGCTGCCCGCAGGAGCTGCAGCCAGGGGACGACAGGGGACTTGGCTTGGCCTGGGGACTTCTGAAGGCGCAGCTGTGTGTGTGCTGTATCCAGTCCTGCCACGCTAATTCACGTTTGCCTGATTTAGAAAACAATATGGATTTTTTTTTTCCCAAGAAATGCAAGCAATTGCTGTAAGGCACAGTTGTCTTCCCTGAGGCTGTGTGCCTTACAGCATAGCCTCAGCTTAACTGATGGGGAACAGCTGAAAGATGAGCTTCTGCAAAACCAGCCCCTTAACAACTTATAAAGTGCTCTGAGTCATGGTTTGACCAGAGGTGCTAATGATGGGCTATTGGTAGTCACTGCAAATAAAACTAAAATGCTGCAAATAGAACTTGGCACAATTTTAGGGACAGGACAGTTACTAGAACTTACAGGTCTCTCATGCATGAGTCTTTGGGAGAAGAGTGTCTTTTGACATCCTCCTGCAAGTTTATAGCTAATAAGCTGTCAGACAGGGTTAGTCTTAATGGTAGCAAAGTACAGAAAATGAAGTGTTTAAAATCGTAAGTAGGAGAGCAATCGAGAATGTCAACCTTATGGCTTAGCCATCAGCCACAGCTTGTAAAGTTAAGACAGATGCTTTCTTAAAAAGAAACCTGGCTGATGTTTTGATAGCAGCTCTGTCAAAATGAAGTGCAAGATCCAAGCTGTGCTCATGCTCTGACTGAAGTTGTGGGCCCATCCTGCCTCAAGTGGGGCAAAATTTTCCTTTATTTCCTCCCAAGGAGAGCACACAATGATTTATTGATATTGATGCGTTTTGAAGCCAGGCATACCAAGGGGATGACATGACTCTGTAAACATAAATGATCTTCCTCTGAAGTCTCTTGTCATTTTGAAGTCTGCCAAAATCCCCCAGTTTTCATTTGGCTTCCTCTTCTTTCCAGTCTTTTCTTGAGCAGTGTTTTCTGTATCTTCTCCCTGCACAGCTCTAAGGCCCCAGCTAATAACAATAAATTTCCTCACACACAACTGCACAGTAGTACATCACAAAACCACTATCAGCCTGGGAGCACTTTGCAAGTAGAAACTTCTTCCTGTCTGATTTCAGAGACCTGACTTAATTCCAGTCTGAAGAGAAACTAGCTGGGAAATATCCAGTTTCCCAGTGTGTTAGCTTATTAAAGTTATCATGTTTGCTGTCCTTTATTGCAATATGGACTGTCTAAGCTGAAAAAACAAGTTGTTGATTCAGCTGAAAGACAGTATAGTCTTTTAACCTGTGTTGCTACACCTCCACAGGTTTGGAGAGGTATGCTTATATTCAATGATTCTTAGGTTTTCTTTTGGTGTAACTAATACAGGTGTAGGTGAATATGCCTGAAAATGTTGCAGTATTTCATGTCCTCTTCTGCCAGACCATACAGTTGCCCTGTGGAAAAGCTCTAAGTGTACCTGACCTGATTGAGGCAGCTCTTGTTGCAGAGCCAAGTACATGTCTACAAACTACCACTGAGGAATTTGAAAAATGGGTTTGCCTGCCAAAACTGAGGATATTCAAGCCTCTGCAGATATTGGCAGTCAGTAAACTGATCTCTGGTAACTGCCGGACAGGCATTTAAATAACTTCCTTTCGTTTGTGTGTGTTTTGTTTTTCTCTCTTAGAAAGAGAAAAGGAGAAGAGGTGGATGGAAATGTGACTGTGAAAAAGAAGCAGAAAAAAGAAAAAGAGAAAGAATCAAAGCAGGAAAAACAGCTGAAGGTGAGTTTTAGCTGATGACATCCTAGAAACTGCTTTGTTAGAAGAGTACAGTGTCAGGCACTAATTGAAGAGCTGTGACACCTAGAAAGGGGCTGTACCTGGTGCCCAGACAAAGTAGAGTTGCCGCACAGCCAGTCCTCGTGTCCTGGTGCAGGACATACCCTGTCACTAAGGCTTTGTTGAAGGCAGTTCACCCTGCTGCATTCTCCTGAAAGACAGAAAGGATCTTCCCTAGGACTTGTGCTTATGGGATTTAAATAGATTAGGTTAAATGCCTTCTCTCTCAGGGAGCCTGGTTTTGTGGTCCTTCCTGCACCATCTGGTTGTGGTGGCTGAAGCTTTGAGCCCAAGCACTGTTGCAGAAGAGCTTGGAAACCAATAAATAGCTCATTGTCAAAATTAGAGACGTAAAAAATGCATAACTAGATTAATGAGAAATCATATCTCTCTCACCCTCTGGGGACCTGTGTTCAGTTCTTGGGTACAAAGTGTGCCAGATCAGAGCTTTCTACCTCTCAGTTTCTAGAGTATCATGAAGGATTCCCAATAAAGCATCAGGAATTTTGTATTTATTGAAAACTTGGCATAGGTACTTTCCACGAAAAAATTAACAAGCTGCTTTTGTTGCAATTGAAGCCTTAATGGGGCTGTAGAAAAACAGTGTGTCTACCTTTGAACAAAAGTTTTCTGTTGTGTGTCAATACCTTACTTTTCAATAAAACTTAGCTGAGGCATTGTCAAGGTTTTGCTGCTGCAATGCAGAGGTTTAGGACAGATCAAGGCAATTTGTGGGTCAGGGTTATAGCTTTGGGTTTGCTAATTCTTTTAACAGCATTTCCTCAAGCATGATCGTTAACACTGAAAGTTAAACCATTTAACACAGTCAGCGAGTTCTCCCAGGGTGGACTGCGTTTTTGGGTGTACCCAGTGAATAACATTCGGAAACTATCTGAGATATTTTGGGATGCTTCTTTGCTGTCCAAGCCTTTCACCTTTTGTAGAAAGGCTCCAAATAATGTGTGGGCTCCTCTGTACCACTTCAGGTGACTGATTTAGTATGAATTCCTCTTATGCTTAGGTGGCTTGAAAGAAGACAGTGCCTGTCAGCATTTCTGATTTTTGTTTTAATGCAAGGCTCAAATGCAGCCATATCCCCACTGTTGGCAGTGTGAACTAGTTAGGTGATGTTTGCAAAGGATGTTGAGAGCCTGCTAAGGGTCATAGTGTGATAGAAACACAGGTTCCACTCCACCTAAAAGCTAGCTGTCTTGTTGATATCACTTGTACCTTCTTGTATGGGATAGTGCTGTAAAGGTTACTCCATGGTCTTTCTTAACAAGTATATAATGGAGAACCATTTGTTTATATAGAATCCCACAGGGATGTCCTTCCACATCTAATCTTGAGAGGGTATCTGGTGAAGCTGCAGTGTGCTCGTGTATTCATACTGAAACCTGAAGCATGTGACTTTAAAGACCTGTTCTAGGTGTTTGGGTAAAATGTGTAACTCTCCCTTTTGGTAAAGCTACTGGTTCTTGGTGCTATTCATCTCACAGTTTGCACTTAAGGTACCATGGGCATGCTAAAACCTTGTCCACATACTGCAGTTTCAGGAATGTTCTTAGAAGGCAATTGACTGAAAGTAGCTAAGCTGCTCAGTTTTGTCAACAGGAGCAAACAGAGCTGATCTGGGGCATCAAGGATGAGCTGAGGAAAGTCTGCTCCACTAATGACCTGAAAGAGCTGCTGATCGCCAACAAGCAGGAAGTTCCGTCAGGGGAGAATGCCGTGAGTTTGTCTGTAGTGGCTTTGCACATGTGCTGGGTCTTTGAATCGGAGCAGCTGACCTGAACCAATATTGCTGCAAGATCCACAAGTCTGAAGCACGTTCCTAACGTAACACTTCAGGAAGAAATTCAGTGCAAAGCCCAGTCCTTTTGACTGAGGACTCTGATGATACTGCTGTTACGCTTGCTTGTGAAGGGCTTTGCGGTGATGTGTGATGCTGAATTCAGTGCCTTCATCTCAGTGATGTGTCTTTGCTATGCCCAAACTGGTCCATATTTTTTTGTTGCTGGCTCTTCAAGAGCAGGTTAGTTATGGCACTTCACATCGCCTCCCTAAACTGTTAAATTACGCCCAAAAAAAGGCAAAAACTATGCAAATTCTTTCATCCCTTCCAAAACCAGTCATATTTCAGTCTCTGTAACTTGTGAAAGTCTTCTCTGTTTTGGAGCCACACATCACTTTAAGTATTTGTATTTATTAAGACACTTTGTAAGGAATGTGGGCTGGGATGTGGGAAGTGTCTAGACTCAAAATGGTCAAGAAATACTTTCTAGGCAGGAAAACTGGGACTTGTCTGAGCCTACGTTCCTACCTACATACTCATGTGCTCAGATGCAGTAGGTTGTCCCCTCCTTGGCTGTTCCAGCACGGCTGCGTGGTCAGGTGCTGTGTGGTAGGTATGTTTTCCTGAATGCTGAATCCAAATAAGAGAGACTGAGTCATTAAGCCGTTGTAAATCAATCAGTTCTGTATGCATGACAAGTGCTGGAAATGTCTATGTCTGCATGCCAGCAGCCTGAGTTATTTTCTTGTCCAGCCCAGTGTAATGAATGCGTGGGCTTCAAGCCTCCTTCTGCCATTACCTGTTCTGTATTCTTTGTTGCTTTTAGATTTTGGACCGAGTAGCAGATGGGATGGCGTTTGGAGCTCTGCTTCCCTGTGAGGAGTGTAAGGGGCAGTTTGTGTTCAAGAGTGACGCATATTATTGTTCAGGGGACATTACTGCCTGGACTAAGTGTGTTGCTAAAACACAGACTCCCAATAGGAAGGACTGGGTAATCCCAAAGGTAGGTGTTTACTGCAAATTTGATGATCTGAAGTACTATTCTTAACTGATGTTACCTCTTCTAAGGAGAATAAGCACAGCTAATGCATAACTAAATTATACTTTAACCAGTAACACTAAATTGAAAGAGACATTGCTGGTTTGATTTGAAACTTGTCATTTACCCTCATCTAGCTTTGTTTTCCCAGTCAGTAAGGTGGGTATTTGCCTACCTTAGTATGAATGTCTCAGAAATCCTTTCCAAGACCTGCAGTAAATGCCAACACCTGGCCAGGGCTCAATTTAGCCTTTAAATCTTATAATAGTATTTGTTGTTTTTAAACGCTGCTTATGCTTCCATCCCACAGGAGTTTCGGGAAATTCCTTACCTGAAGAAATTTAAGTGTAAGAAGCAGGACAGGGCATTCCCTCCAGATGCTGCAACTGTGAACTCTGTGCCTCCTCCTTCTGCATCTGCTCCTCTGACAGAGACCGTGTCCACACCCAGAGGTAAGCAGCTGGCTGGGCATGGGTCAGTGATGTTCAGGATGGTGTGTAATGCCATTCCCAGCTGGACTAACATGCCACCCTGAACAGGCATGCTGTTCTCCTCGCCCTGAGCAGGCAGAGCTGTCCTGGTGAGCACCAGCATAGCAGTCTTATGTGCTTCATTACCCTAGCACAGGTAGACCCTGATATGGTGGGTTGCCCTGGTACGTGTACTCAACATCCTGGTTGTTTTCTAACAAATTGGTTTGGATATTTGTTGATGGTGAGGAAATAATGTGTTTGCAATGAATCAGAAATTTAAAGGCCCGTGTTGCAGAATGTGTCCCAAGGGAGACCTGCTATGAAATGCCGTTGTGCTTGGTTTCTTTGGGAACATCCAGGGATATCCATAATGCCAGATAATTCCACATCCAGTGTTAGGTTTTAAGGGCAAGAATTTTTTTTTTTTTAAACCTTCTAAATACTCCGTTGGGATTTGGCTTTACCAATCACTGACTCCCCTTATGCAAAATAGAGATGCTGTCTCCAGCCCACAAATTGGCAAAAGGTTGGACTCCAGGAATTCCCCGTAGACTGTTGGAATGAGTTGCATGCTTTGGTGATAACAGCCTGTCCACTAAGAACTGTGCTGACTTCTTTCTTATTCAGCCTTTTTAGCCCTGGCTGTAGTTTTGGGAGCCAGGGATTATTGTTACTTAGTGAAAAGGGTGGGAGTAATTCTGCACAGCTAATTTTAGCCAGATCATGTTAATTTAGCAATGAAGACAAAGTAACCCAGGTCTTGGTTCTGACTGGCAAGTTGATTCCAGCCCCAGTGTGCCCTGAAAGTAAATTCTAACTATTGACCAGAATTAAACCCAGGTTACTTTGTTTGCTAGCAACCTAACCAGTCTGAGTTGTGGGGAGTAGAGGAAACAAAACCCTCAGAGCTAATAGCATTTATCTTTAGCAGTGCAGATATGCAATTAGACACTTGCCATGTCCTGGACCCACCTGCATTACAAAGTGTTAACATGATGATGTGAGGGAGCCTTCACATGGTTACCAGTTTGCTCCTGACTTGTTATGGGGTTTGCATGATACAACCTTGCCTATAAGATCAAGACAAATATACTGTAATACAGCAACATGGTTGCTTGAGAGATAATCTTTCTCCAGCCCCTCAAAAACATGTTTCCTTTTGAAGAAAAGGAATTTTTCCTTTCATGTTACAGTGAATTTCTCCCATGCTGTCCAGGCATGAAAGGAAAAGGGAAGCAGAGCAGAGTACGTAGTAGCACAGTGCTGAAGCAGACTGATTTTTTGTTTTTTTTCTTTAAAAAAAAAAAAAGTCAGGCAAATTGTGTGCCTATGTATCTTATCTTCCCCGTCTTTCATCCCTTCTGTTTGTTGGTGGGTCCTGAGTTTTGTTGCCTTTCCTAGCTGAAGGGGAGCTTCCTCCCGCTTGCTTAGTGCAGGTCAGACCTGCTTGGACCCTTGTCTCCCTGTCAGCTGGGCTGATTGTCCTGAGTGTGGGGGTGCTGTCTGTGCTTGTTATTTGTCTGGGGTGCTCTGTGCCTGTTGCTAACATGCTGTGTTATTTCTGAACCCCTAGACAAACCACTGACCAACATGAAGATCCTGGTTCTTGGAAAGCTGTCAAAGAACAAGGAGGAGGTGAAGAGCATTGTGGAGGAGCTGGGAGGAAAAATGACAACAACAGCTAACAAGGCCACCCTGTGCATCAGCACACAGAGTGAGCAGCTATGCCTTAGTTACTGGTAGCACTGGTAATAGACCTGAGCGGATTACAGAGGACATGTGTCCTCAGAGCTCTCTGGGGATCAGTGTTTAGATTAGGGGAGTGTTTTGTGTGTGTACATGGCCTTAGTTTGCTTGGAAAAGTAAAGACAGATGTGTGCTATTTGAGTTTTACTTACCTAGCTCATTAATGCTGTGGGTTGTGCCATAAGGCCCTGTCAGGTCTGCAGTAGCTGGAGCTTGGGTCTGTATGCAGACTGTGTTGGTGTGCAAGCCACCCTTGTTGGGATTGCAGGTGCTGGGGGCTGTGTCCATGCGTGCCTTGGAGAAACTGCAGAGCTGACTGTCGGTGCCTGAAGGCAGTAGTTTTCTCTGCTGGCAGCATAGGGTCTACTCTTGCTCCCTGTTGCAGTTGAGGTGCAAACTGGTTGCAGAGTTAGGAGATCAGCTCCCACCTGCCAGGAGATCCCAGAGGGACTGTACAGCCCTAGTCCTGCTCTGGGAAGAGGAGAGCTGGACCGGGTAAACGGGAGTGTTCCTGCTGTAGCCCAAGCTGCAGCTTTGAGCCGATGGGGATTTTACTCTCCAAAGAACATAGTGAATTCAAAATGTGGTGGAAGTGTGTTTCCTCAAAGTGTCAGAGAGCCCTGAATCATGGACAGAGGGTGGGGGCTAAAGTCTGAAACCTCACTGATGCTTTTTTCTCTCCATTTCCCACCCTGCCTCTACAGAAGATGTGGAGAAAATGAGCAAGAAGATGGAAGAAGTGAAAGAGGCCAAAGTCCGTGTGGTCTCAGAGAGGTTTCTTCAGGACGTGAAATCCTCCAGCAAGGACTTTCAGGAGCTTGTGTCTCTCCATGCGCTTTCGCCTTGGGGTGCGGAGGTGAAAATGGAGCATGAGGAAATGGCTGTGGATGGGAAGTGCAGCAAGCCTCCAAGTATGAAGAGTGCTGGGAAAGTCAAAGAAGAACAAGGTGAAGAATAAAGTGGTTGTTTCTCCGCAGGCCTGTTTAATGTTGTGCATGCACGAAGCAAACTTGGATATAGTCTATCCTTGCCCTGTCCTTGAGTTCTCTGTCCTTTTTCTCATAATAAATTTAAATAATAAGACCTGAGGGCAAGACTAGCTTTCAGTAAATGTGAAGCTGTCTTCTGAGCTGGCTCCTGTTTCCTCTGGTTCAGTCTTGCCTCAGATGTCTTCTGTGCTGTATGTGCCCAGGCTCCCTGACATCAGTCTAGGCTCTTCCTCATAATGACTCAGCTTCTCTGCCAGTTTGGTCAGTGTTGCAGCTCCAAGGAGGTGTTGGGGCACCAAAATGTGACAGACACTACCATGACCCCCAAGGGGTGTTAGCAAGTGAGAAAATACTGGGGTCCAGAACACTGGGTCTTTGTTCTACTTGGTTTAGAACGTAACATTTTTTAATGGAGGAGGAAAAATAGCCAACACCAATGGCATTCCTTACCAATGCCATAGAGAGCTTGCATTATTAATGCTGGACAGTGAACAAAACCGTCAGATCTGCTCACCTATCTTCAGAACCCGTTCTCCTCCATGTCCTCCAAGTGTAGGTTTCTGTCATATAATTGACTATGTTACTGCCAGACTGTCTCACAGCAGTAGGATCTTCAGGGGACCTGAACACTCCCACACACCCTGTGTGGTTTTTAAATCCCACTTAAAAGTCACGTTTGTGGTTGTGTTTATCTGCTGTGCAGGCGAAAAAATGATATGACCCACCCCTTGGGGCCAGAAGGAAGGAGATAGATAGAATCTGGGGAGATCTTATTTTTCATTTAATTGAGGGGATGGGGGGGAGGGCTGTCAGTTGGCTGCTAAAGCCAGGTAAAAAAAGCCATTGAAGTCACTGTGCTCATATTCTGGGAATCTGATTTGAAGTCTCCTTAGGGTGATAATTACGCAAATTGAGAATTTAAATGTTGGTTCAAGTCAGACTGTGTTGCCTGCCTAGGAAAAAAATTAACTCTCTTTCACCGCAGGACCTAGCAAGTCTGAAAAGAAAATGAAGCTAACAGTTAAGGGTGGAGCAGCAGTAGATCCTGATTCTGGTGAGTGATAACAATGGCTGTGCCTGCACCACACACAGTCTTCAGGATGCATGATCATGTTCAAAACCCTTTTCTGCAAAAGGATAAAGGTTCCGTAAAAGGAATGTGCATTTTTAAACCATTTTTTCTTGCTGTCAAAGAAAGGATATTGATTGACATCCAAAGCTGGATATTCGAGGATTTTCTAGTGTAACTTTCAGAAGGACCACGTAAACTAAGGAGTGCACCTTGTTCATCTTCAGGAGCATCTGTCAGTGGGGCGAATAAAGGCCCAGCCAGCGGAAGCCACGGGTCTGACTTGAGCATCTGCCTCCAAACCTTTTTGGGGGCAGCTGGTGCTACTCTCTAAACCTATGGTGCACGGACATTGTTCTGAGAATTCATACTGCATCCAAGGCCAACCTTTGGTTTTTCAGTCCATTTGCTAACATGACACCTGCAGAGCTGTACCTCTCTTGAGAATTCCTCCAGGCAGTCATGCAGTGTTAAATACTAGTTCTCAGATGGTACTTTTTCAAAAGTTACATTTTTTTTTTCTGTAGTCTGGATTGAGGTTCACTCCAGTGTATCTAAAGGTGCGTGCTCACAATTCATTAAAAAGAAAACATGCTTCAAGTAGTTTTGAATGAGCATGTGGTCACTGTTTTTGCGGTATTTTTGTTAAGATTTAAAGTACTTCATGAAACATTTGTGTGAGCGCAAATGTAGGAAGGAGACCTAAAATGGTAACCTATGTGTTCTAACTTGTTTCTTCTCTGTAGGTTTGGAGGATTCTGCTCATGTCTTTGAAAAAGGTGGGAAGATTTTCAGTGCAACCCTGGGCCTAGTAGATATTGTGAAAGGAACAAATTCTTACTATAAACTGCAGCTGCTAGAGGATGACAGAGAGAACAGGTGAGTTCATTTTTCCCTAGAAATACTTTTGTTCACTTCCTTCCCAATAAATATTGTATTTATTTATAAGAACTGGCTGGACGACCAAGCCTAGAGAGTTGTGGTGAATGG